CTTTGTGTAAAGTATACCTGCCATATCAATGTGGAGATCTGTGCCAGTATTAAGGCGATTAAATATTTATTTAAATATGCCTATAAGGGTCACGACAGAGCAATGATCGAAATCACCGATAAACATCAGTATAATGAAGCGCAAGATCAGCCAGTTATAATTGATGAAATTAGAAACTTTGTTGAAGCCCGTTGGGTCTCAGCCCCGGAAGCCATCTGGAGAATCCTAGGATTCAGTATGAGTGGAATGAACCCTGCTGTTACACGCTTACAAGTACACCTTCCTAATCAACAAAAAGTCATCTTTAATGAAAACATAAATCTAGAAGAAGTCATTGCGGCTAACAGGAATCAACAAACAACTCTAACCGAATATTTTAAAATGAATATTCAAGATCCAGACGCAAGAAATCTTCTTTATATTGATTTTCCCATACATTATGTATGGAATAAGGAAACCAAATCATGGAAGAAACGTCAGCGTGGAGGATGTATTGGAAGAATGTATATGGCCCATCCAGGTGAAGGTATGTAATAATATTCATTTATCATTAATATATATAATTGGGATTATAACAATAATTAACTATTAATTATACATGCAGCTTAGGTAAAAGATATTATCTCCGTTTATTATTGACAAAAGTAAAAGGAGCTACAGATTTTGAAGAACTCAAGACGGTAAATGGAATTACATATCCTACTTTTAAGGAAAGCGCTCAACAAAGAGGTTACCTAGAGAATGATAATGAATATCAAATATGTATAGTAGAAGTTAAGAAATTTCAGATGCCTATTCAGTTACATACCCTATTTGCAACATTATTGGTCTTCGGAGATATTACGGATGTACGTCAACTATGGAATGAGAATTTTAATGCAATGGCGGAGGATTTTGCATATGAAGGGATTCCAGAAGGACAACTTCAAATTCAGAAAGTTCTTCAAAACTTAAATTCATTTTTGCAAAGACATGCAAAAACTATATCTGATTATGACCTACCGGAATTGTTGCCAGAAATTAACATTACGAAATTGCCACAAACACTTCTAGAAGAGTTATCTTATAGTGTTACTCCAGAGGAACTCGCTAAGTCTAATACATTAAATAGGACTCAGCGCATAATATTTGATAACGTAATGGATCTTATAAGCAGGAATGAAAGGGGAGTACTATTTGTGGATGGTCCTGCCGGAAGTGGAAAAACTTATTTATATGATTGCTTCATTACCCATGTATGAGCCAATCAAAAAATTGTATTAGCAGTAGCCTCTTCTGGCATCGCTGCATTACTATTGTGTGGTGGATGCACGGCACATTCTCGCTTTAAAATACTGATATCCATGATAGATGGAAATGCAACCTGCAATGTTAAGAAAGGAAGTGATCTTGCCCAATTATTTACAGAAGCTGCATTAATAATTTGGGACGAAGTTCCGATGACACATCGTTATGCTCCTGAGGCTGTTGACAGGACATTGAGAGATATAATGGAAAACGATCATATATTTGGTGGTAAAATAGTTTTATTTGAAGAAGACTTTCGACAGGTTTTACCAGTAATATGCAAGAGTACTAGAGCCCAAATTGTCAATGCTGCTCTCAATAAATCATATTTATGGAATCATATCTGCATCTTCTCTTTGACTACTAATATGAGAGTCGCCCAAGCAGATAATTCTGAGGCAAGTGCATTCACAGAATATCTTATTAGGATAGGAAGTGGTACTGAACCAACAATAGAAAATGATTTAATTTGGCTTCCTGATGAAATGGTTATTTATCCACACAATAATAATGATCTTATTAATTCAATAATAAATGTTATCTATCCTAATCTTATCGAATATGCCTTGGACACTATGTTCATAACAAAAAGAGCAATATTAACTCCATTAAACAATGATGTTGATGAAATTAATAATTGAATTATAATGAAGTTTCCTGGGGAGCAGCATATATATTATAGTTTTGATTCAGTACCTGAGAATAATGCAAACTTATACTCAATCGAATACCTTCACTCTATAACGCCTCAAGGTCTTCCTCCACACAATCTTATACTAAAAATTGATGCTCCCATTATGCTACTTAGCAATATAGATCCAGCTAACGGATTGTGTAATGGGACAAGACTTATTTGTCGCTAATTCCAACCACAGATAATTGATGCTGAGATAGCAACGGAAGACTATAAAGGCAAACATGTATTCATTCCTAGGATTCCTCTACTACCATCTGAAGATACTGGATTACCATTTATATTAAAAAGGAAGCAATTTCCTATACGATTAGCATTCGCTTTAACTATCAATAAAGCTCAGGGTCAAACATTACCTTATGTTTGTCTATATCTTCCGCAACTAGTCTTCTCTCATGGACAACTATATGTCGCTATGTCAAGAGTTCGTGAAGGATGTAATCTCAAAGTTTTTGCTAAAAATTGCAAAGTTCAAGGTAAGAATGAAACATATACACGGAATGTTGTATTTAGGGAGGCTTTAATATTATAGACGTAACAGTAAAGAATATTATCATCATTATTGTATCATATAAACGTAAACAAAAAAATTTTTGTGTATAATGTGAAAATTAGATAGCCGAAAATCTATAGTGTCCACTAATCACATGAATTTTAATATCAACACTGCAGGTTGGTCATGTGATCTTTACTAGCAATTGATACAATTTGCACGTACATATGAACGTGCCTACTTGCTAGTTAAATCATATATCTCTAGTAATTTTTATAATAATAATAAAATTTTAAATGTACGATAATTAAATTTGTAATTAAGTATATTAATATAATGCAATATAATACAATTTATAAAATAATAAATAAATCTATTATTATTATTGTTAAAAAAATAAATAAAATAATAATGCAACTAAATTAAAATGACAATGGAATAAATAAATAATGAATGAATGAATACATTAAATAAATAAAATTAATTAATTAATTAATTAATTAGGCATAATATAAAATAATAATTTTTAATTAAATTTTATTATCATTTTATTAAGTTTTTAAATTAAACATATTTATTCAATTTTTTGTATATACTTTATTTTGTTAATTTTTTATAAAAATATTATTATATATATTTTTGTTTAAAAAGACTTAATGATTGTAATAATTAAAATTAATATCAATATAGTTATTATCATTTGAACAATTGTAATTAATTTAACAATTTTTTGTTTTAGGATAAAAAAAAAATAATAATAATCATTTTAAAATGTTTTTATATAGTTTTTAAAGTAATAAAATATTGAACCATTTTAGATCAATTGGTTTCTTCTTATTAAACAATTTTTTTTTTCACATGTAAAACGTTATATTAAAGAATTATAAAGTAATATTTCAGTTCAAAAGATGTTATACTTGTTAATTTTGAAAAAGCAATTTTCAATTTGTTATGTTATTAATGTTTTAATGAGTTACCTTTTAAAATTGTATGAATTTATATGAATTAATGACGATGCATTGATTTACCATACATATTGTATATATAATAATTTAATTTTAATTGTTAAATTCACGAAATTACTTTTTAAAAAAAAAGGCAAACCAATATAATAAAGAATATATGTATATTTTGTAGTTTTTAAACACGGCATATTGACGAAACCAATAGATGCAATCAAATGAAACTTCAAGAACATTACAAATTTCAATTTTTAAATCTTCATTTGGAACTACGGTATTATTATGGAATTATTTTAAAACATAAAATAAATTCATAAGTGTTTTACTCATGCAATAATCGGAGGCGAGTATACAGTATCAGAATTTTGTTTACTCTAAAATAAGTACCGCACATGTCTTTTACGCAATGCCACATCCTGTGGTCGCATCTTATTCCTTTACAAAGCAAATGATGTATTGTATAATTTCATCTAATTGGAAACCTGTTGCACCATTAATCCGTGGTATCAATTACGTATATCGATTACTGTATATAGTACTGTCATCATATTCTTAATACAGTAATTGGTGGTTGATATTTTAAAGGTGCATACACCTTACATATTCGGAAATTCATGTATTATATGGCTCGACATTTTTGTTGTGTGTGACGATCCCGTTGCCCGGTTATAAAAACGTTGACAAGCCTCTTGTCTGAAGTGTCAGTTCACAAATCAATCAATAAAATCTTGTTGATAATTAAGAAATTCAATTCTATCTCAAAATGAATACCCTCGAAAAAGCAACATTCGCGGCCGGTTGTTTCTGGTAAATTTGTGGTTTCCGTTTCCTTGTTCTTTGCGTAAATATTCAAATTCATTACTAATTTGATATTGAAATCATAATAGGGGCGTCGAACATATTTTTGCTAAAAATTTCGATATTAAAACAAGAGTTGGCTTCATTGGTGGAAAAGTGGAGAATCCTTCGTATAAAAAAGTAAACATAAAAAACAAAGAATAACGTAAGGCAGCAAATATTAAACATCATTTACATTATTTTCAGGTATGCACCGGCGAAACGAACCATGCCGAAGCCTGTCAGATCCTTTACGACCCTAGCAAAATTTCATACGCCACCCTCGTAGAATTCTTCTACAAAACTCACGATGCCAGCACACTAAATCGCCAAGGGAACGATAATGGCACACAATATCGATCAGCGATATTTTATCATTCAGAAGAACAAAAACGAATTGCTGAAGAGGTGACCAAGAAAGTACAGGAGAAAATTAACAAGGAAAAAGATATCTATTCGGGAGATAAGATTGTCACAACAATTGAAGAGGCGGGAGAGTTTTATGACGCTGAGGAGATGCATCAGAAGTATTTGGTAAGCTCATTAGGGCTGAATTTAATAATTCTTTGAAATGATCTGTGCTAACGTTTTCCTTTACTTGATTTGATCCAAATTAATTATAGGATAAAGTTCCAAACGGATATCAGGTAAATAATTTTTTCTTTTTCTTGCGACTTGCATAATAAATTATTTGATGTTAATGAACCTTTTCATAATCTTCTCCAGTGTGCAACTCATTACATTAGATGGTAACCGCATAAAAATACAAAGAATTAATGTTCATTCTTTTCTTTTCTAAAATAACTACATTTTCTGTGTACGATACATATTAAAATTTTATATTTATCCAAAATTCAATAAACAATAAATTTTAAACACGCCATTTTAAAACACTTCACACTTTAAACCGTGAGATTTCAAACTTTCTATATTATTTAACTGCCTATTGTATTAAACATTTTTGTTTTCTTTCCTTTTTTTTTGCACAATTAAAAAGTCTTGCCAAGATTTGGCGGATAACATAAAATTTTTATCAAAAATCTGTGATTCTATACTACGTACAGTATTACATCTCATAATTACAACTGTATACTGTATTTTGTTGATCATTTATCTTTTATAAGAAATTCATTCACCGAAATATTTAAATCATTTTCCCAATACAATCATTTTACAAAGAATAGTAATACCTTTCTGGTATTTTGTGAGAGGACGGGTAATGTTGTTATTTATACGATTATTTGGACCCATTGTAGATATACTGGCGCTTTTAATATACCGTATTACTAAATTTATCACTGAAGTAGATCACGGGCACGACGGTTGCCTCTTACATTGTAATCACTTCCTAGAAATAAGAAAACAATCAAAATTTTATTTTTTACTGTATTTGTGATAATATGATTATAATAATTGTTCTGATGGCAATTTTTTTAAAGTCGAAAATGAATATGAAAAAATATACAATAATGTGTGATACTGTGATGTCAGTATAAATAATGGGAGAAGAAAAAATAATAAGGTTACAGATAAGCAACTTTATTTAACAGCTATTTCTTGAGCGTTCAATTTTAGACTTTCTTAATACAAATTCCGTATGGTCTTATATCCTCTCCACTCGGTGAAATCCAAAATTCTCCCCCAAACCTCGTCTTAACAGCCGATATTCGTATCAAATTTTCCGGATTAACTCTGTTCTGAAAAACCATCTTATATTTCTCTTCCTCGTGTGTGAACTCCTTTGCGTACCTTGCCGCAATTTTAATATCAGGTGTTGAATAAATTCCATAACCAAATGCAAATCTCTTTCCTTTACTTAACAAATATCCTTGATCTGAAATTGAATTAAAATTATGTTTCTCTGTGCCATGATAAGATACCGGCCATTCATTTACACACGCGCTAGTGGAATGAGTTCGCCGGGAGGAACCAACTCCGAGCCAGTGATTATTTTCATATTTATCCAGAACCTTGAGGGCAATGCGATTCCAACCCAATGGACGTTTGTATTCGTATTGTCCACGCATAAATTTTCGGCCATCGTCATTAGCATTTGTAAAATCATAATTATACCTGGGATCAAGAAACTCATGAGAAATAAGGGCATATTGGGGATAAAATTTACCCTTAAAAGTCAAATGTAAAATTGACTTTTCTTGAATGTCGTAATCACCGAGGGCTTTTTCATCTTCCAATTGTTTACCGTCAAAGGTCAATTGTTGTTGGTCAGGCAGAATACTTTCTTTTATATGAATACTTTTTTTTAATTCTCTAACTTTCGTGGTACGTCTAACTCGCACGGTTATTATTCCGTTGGTTAAAGTTGTGATAGACAGCTGGAAACTTTTGACGTCTGAGATGGGCTTCTTCTTAGTGGCTAAAGGGGCTGCTCCAACAAGGCCACCAACCAAGTAAGATTGGTGGAAGCTTTTTATATCGAACTGTTGTGTATCGGGGATGGCTGTGTTTACAGGGCCACTAACTAAGAATTGACAAAAGTTATCCGGGTCTAATGTATCATCTTTAGGAATCTTGTCGGTGAGATTGTCACTTGTAATAACTTTTAACCCAGAAATAGCACTAATGGCGGAAGATATAAGAGCCAAGTTATTTGACATTTTAATTCTTTCGAGATACGTTTATTTTTTGTTTAAAGAGTCTATAATTAGCAACTATTAGGAGAGAATATTGTCACGGTTAAACATGTCCTTGAACCATTTAAATATACAGCACGCCTGTGTCACTAATTGGAGTACTGTGCATACTACAGTGCATGACGCATATGATATACAGCACTGTAATTGTTTACATTTTTGTCAACAAAACACGGAGGCAATACCGGGTATAATATCCAATATGAAGGTTGGGGTTTTATAATTAACTTCTACATTTGGGTTCTTTACCTAACATTATTTACATAGTCTTTATAAAATGAAATGGCACATCAGGTAAAATTTTTATTGATGATGAAATCTAATTCTAGCTTAAACTATCTTATCTATTAATCCAGGCATAACTGCACTATCATGGAAAGTTTATTATGAAATATCACTAGTTCAGTTTTATTACAATTCTTGAATTGTTGTAACATAGTATTACCTTTTCATATCCAAGTTCTTTGCAAATATTAACAAATAGTTTGTCTATATTCTTAACAAACACAATATTATCTTCAATATTTTAGAATCTTATGAGATTCATTTGGCATATAGTTTTGAAAATTAGAATTGAACAGAATGCATAGAATTGCATAAGATTCAGAACATTATTAAAAATAATTGTGGATTATATCTCATTTATTAAATTTAATATAAATCTGAAAATTATTAAAATTCTTAATCTGATAAATTGCACTTATTAGATATTAAATTAGTAATTCAAAATCAATTACAACTTTAGATATTACTAGTATTATTAAAGAAAAAATAGCCTTAACAAAAACAAAAATTGAATTATATACTGGTACAAGTTTGTCATTTATTTTTATTTTGTTTTCAATTATGTTTTTTTTTTAATAACAGCTTTATTACAATTAATTATCTTTTTTCAAAGTTTTTAAAAATTCTATTCTAATTCTTGCTTATAAATTTTGTGTTCAATATTTTGTTATTTAATGTTATCAGTTTCAACCTTGGCAAGTTTCATATATCATAAAATTAATTTTTTATTTCTTATTTATATTTTGATTAAATCAATTTTGTCCTAATTAAAAAGATTTATTAATTTATTTTTATAAAGTATTTTGTAATATATGAGTTTAATATTACTCTTGTCAAAAAGTTTACTATTACTTATAACATATTCTAAATGATAATCTATTGTTTTTTCTAAATTTACTAGCTGTACAAATCTATTTGATAAATAGTACAAATGTTAAGATTAATTTATATATCTTTGAATTTCTTGTCTATAATCTATGAGATAATTTATTAAAATATTTGATATTTATTAATATATTAAAATATTTATAAGCTTTTTTTCAATGCACTATAGAAACAATTATATTTAATAAAAATATTAAGAAAAAATAAATTAAATGAAAAAGAATAATATATTATCATCTAAAAAGAATATAACATTTGATTATAGAAAAACTCTTTCCCACAACTTTTCAATTTGTAAAAAATTTTTTTTTTTGATAATGACATGAACAGTAGACAGTAAATAGCGAGCAAGAACCTCTTCCTGGAAGAGGAGTCCATCTTAGCTTTCTGCAGGGTGCAAGAGGTCGATTAACTCTCCATAGAGGGGTGGATGCTTTGGGAGTGGCAAAAACCTCTTCGATTAAACTCTTTGCTTTAC